CGCGGGGCCCGGGCCGGGGCCGGGGCAGGGCCGGGCGCGCGGCGGGAAGCGCGAGGGAGGGTGGGGAGCCGGCGCGGGCGGCTCCGGTGGCTTCCTCCGCCGGGTCCGGGGGTGTCCGCGGCCGCGGGGACAGGCCGCGACGACGCCGACGGCCGCGCCGGGGGGGCCGGGGTCGCGGCGCTGGCGCGTTCCTTACCCTGCATGCTGCTGACGGCCGGGTGGCCCGGCGCCGGGGGCCCCACGGGGCCCGGGGTGCCGCTGCCGCTGCCGCCCCCGGAGCCGCCGCCGCCGCCGCTCGGGCTCGGAGCCGCCATTGTTGGGAGTGAGGAGCCGAGCGGCGCCGCGGCGGCTGCAATGCAGCAAGCTCGGCCTCTCGCACGGCCGAGGGGCGCGGCCAGAGCCCGCCTTGAGCCCGCCCCCGCCCCGCCCCGGACACGCCCCCTGGCACGCCCCCGCCCGCGCCTGAAGCGGAGCCCTGCCAGCTGCGGATCCGCAGAACCGCCCAGGGCGCCGGTGCTCGGCTAGGAGGGAAGGCGGGCGGGAGTGCTGCCCCGGGGCTGCGGACCGGCCCGCGGGGCCTAACGCGGTGTGCACCATTAGGAATGTGTGTGCACCGGGGAGGTTGGGGGACACAGAGCTTTCCTCGTTCCCACAGAGGCCTGTGACCCCAAAAGTTTAAGAACCCCGTCGTTGGGCGGGGGACACCTGGCTGGCTCAGTTGGTGGCGCATGGGACTCTTGATCTCGGGGTCGTGAGTTCCAGCACCATGCTGGGCATGGAGCCTACAAAAAAAAAAAAGGACCTCCTTGTTGGAAACCTCAGAACCCTAAATCAGAGCGATAAAACTAAAAAGGATCCCAGGGGTCATGCTTTCTGTCTAGTATCGGGCGCGGCTCGTCCAGAGGGGAGTTGGCTCTAGCTGTGGTTCCATCTGAAGCTCCTGTTAAGTTCTGCCTAACACCCCAACCCTCTACACTGGCCTGGGGGCTGCCAGGGAGTGCCACTCAAAGTACGGTCTCATCCTGAAACTACGAATCAGAAAATACATTTTCATAATATCCCCACGTAATTTGTATAGGCATTAAGTTTGAAAAACAGTGTTTTAAGCACCCAACATTCCCTGGCCTCCCCAAATATACTATTTATGTCACCATCTTCCCCTTCAACACACTCTGGGTTCCCTCGCCCACCTCCTCTGCAACTTGTAAGACCAGGCATGGTCGTTATCATGAACTACATAAAATGACAACCTCCCTCCAAAAATAAAATTTCTGCCATTGCTTTGCACAGAGACTTTGATTTTAGGAAGGCAGCAGCTAAAAGCAGCAAAACAGTCCTCTGTGAAGCTAAGAGTTTCTGGGCCAATGGAAAGGTGATTGGGAAGGTGGAGACCTGGGTCTCTGGGTAGAGGTATCTCTTCCTATAATAGAATGAGCAAGGATACAACATGGCAAGTAATCTAGACCGTGGAGCTGGACGATCCCTGCCCTTTGGAAGCATTGCACAATGTACACAAGGACCTCCTTCTCAAACCTCCTTCGGCACTGACCTTATCTGTGCTGGAACTTCCTCATAGCATGTTGGAAATGTGTCCTCGGTCAAAAGAGCCCTGCCTTCTTGCTGTAAACCCAACTTCAGCCTCATCATGATTGCTCAGATGCTAACAGTGGCTGGAGATAGGGCTTAGGAAAAGTAAATTGGGGAGATAATAAAGTCATATTGAAGATGGGTAGATGTACTTAAGTGGAGAGGCTTTCATTTTCCACTCTGCCTCCCAACTCCCTTCAGAGGGTTTGACTGACCCAGCCATATCTCTAAGTCTAAGTAATTATAACACTGCCGAATCCCCATCTAAGAATCAGTAGCCCATCTTGCACTTGTCGGTCCTGAGGAAACCTAAATGTGGGGTCCTTTGAGGGGAAATCTTATAAGAACTGGGAGGAAAAGTTTCCCATCCACGCTGTCCGGTCCAGAGTACAGGCTAAATATTCTGTCTACGTATTCTCCATGGTGCTGATGAGAAGAGAACAAATGACAAAGAAAAGGAGGATTTTTGGCTCCCTACCATTCTCTCCTTTGAAGGTGCAGATTGGAAGATGGCCTTCTTTTCTTTGGGGTTTATATTTTAGTGCCTGGAGGGGTTAGTATCCAAAATCAAATGAAGTTCTTCTTTCAAAATATGAACATAACTTACCAACAATTGGATAAGATTGATGCAGAAAAAGAAGGCACTGCCCTTCCCAAACAATTGTTTTGTATTTCCATTGGCTTGGCCACTTTGGCAGATTAAGAAAAGGCATCCACAGCCCTATAGTTTTGCTGACAAATGAACCAAATATAGTATCTTGTCATCATCCAGCTCCAGATGCAGCATGACCAGATAACGAAATAGTTCTATTCAAGCAATTTTCTGACACTTTATTCCAGTATCTTCCAGTAGGGTTCCCAACCAGTTCCTGTTGTCTAAATGTCACTGTTGCATGTGTATGTCATCTCATTTCTCATTTCCAGCTCTTTGGAGATTGGAGTGGTGCCAAAAATTAGCTTGGAGGACTTTTGGTCTCCCCATCCCCATAAATACTATGAGAATCCCACCCCTATTCTTTGACGTGGATAGTTGATTTATTCACAGTCTTATGTAAAGTGCTACAAGCCCTCTTTTCCAATTATACATATTTCTTTAATAAAACTTGTTTCTTTGATAGAAATCCTAGAGGCAATACTAGAGATTAGGCAACTATTAAGAATATATTTTTTTAAGATTTTATTTATTCATTTGACAGGGAGAGAGAGAGAGTACAAACAGGGAGAGAGGCAGAGGGAGAGGGAAAAGCAGACTCCCCACTGAGCAGAGAGCCCAATGCGGGGCTCGATTCCAGGACCTGGAAATCATGACCTGAGCCAAAGGCAGATGCTTAACCATCTGAGCCACCCAGGCGCCCCAGGAATATTTTTTAAAAACCTGCTGTTCTCCAGTATTATTTTAGATTGTACATAAAAAGTTACATTTCTTTGTCTTTAAAGAGGATGGGAGTAACAGATTAAGACCATTGCTATGAGCAATGTATGTCAATATCAGAGGGCCTTGTCCCAAAAGAGGGTGCAGAAAGAAGTAATGTGCATATCTCCAACTGAGAGCACCTTTGTTTAGAAATCTAGCTTGCTGGTTCTTTTTGATACCTTTGTCTCAATGGTTAGATTATAAAGACATGTTTCACTTCACATTTCAAATAAGGTAAAAGTAAGTCTATCTAGATTTCCCTTTAGGACCCCAATTTCAGCCTCGAGAAAGTAAGGGTCAAACACCACTATTTGGCTGAAACAATCACTAGATATCCCCTATAAGGGCTCAGCAGTTGGCTTTGAGCAAAACCCATCTCCTGTCCACCTCCAATTGCTGAGGCCTTAAGACCACGTCATCCAATGACTGATTTTGCCTCTCCAGGCAGAGGGTTGCAAGCTGTGTGGGTTTCTAGATATTGATTAAACATTGTATTTAATTGGAAATAAACAGCATGTGAGAAGCTTTTAACTCTCATTAAAAGAACCAAGTTCTGCCAGTTCAGCTAGAAGATGTTAACTAATTATGCCTATTAATAATCATGCATGCATATAAAGATTTATGGGTAAATGTTCGTCACAACATTATTTGTAAGATTAAAAAAATGGAAATACCTCACTGTAAGTCACTACAACTAAGTGAAAGGTAATATTGATAGTATTAGCCATCATCTGACCAGATACAAATATATACTAGAAAACTGTGATTCTCATGTACCGGCCCTATACCCACAGCTTGTCCTCATATTCTGCTTTTTGTTCATCTATCCTCACTATTAGCACACACACATATAAAATGAAACTAAAACAAAAAACTGGGCATCTTTTGGGGAAGGAGGGAGTGAAGCATGATTGACTGGGAAGGGGCAGAAGGGAACTTTCTCATGTAATGGTCATGTTCTATACCTTGACAGGGATTGGGTTACACAAGTGTATATGCTTATCAAAATGCTGCAAATAAATGATCTAGATTTGTACATTTCAAGGTACGTAAATATACATTGAAAGAAAAAACTAGAAATAACTATCAAGTGGTATGAATGCTAAAGTCTTCAAGAGGACATATATCTGCAATTTACTTTGAAATGTGTCAAAAACAAGATGGCTGAATGAAAGGAGAGTGGGATGGATAAATGGATATATATGTGCTAAAACAAGTGTAATACAATGTTAATGGTAAATGTAATACAACGTTAATGGTAAACATAATACAATGTTAATGATAAAATCCAGGAGGTAGACTGATGTGAACAATGATCTTTTCCATTGCATGAAATTTTTCATAATAAAATATTAGGGGAAAAATGAAAAACAATAAAACAAAAAAGTGCACAGAAATTAAACATATTGCTAAATTACATTGCCCCCTTGAGCAAAATCACAAGCCAGGTAATGTAACTTCTAACGACTAAGTATAAATTTGTCCAATTTATCGAATGGGGTAGGTTTCCTATAAAAATCAGAAATTATTAAAACTTATTATCTAAAAGAAAGGAATCAGGCACCTGGGTGGCTCACTCAGTTAAGTGTCTGACTCTTGATTTGGCTCAGGTCATGATCTCAGGGTCGTGGGATCAAGCCCCGTGCCTGGCTCCGCACCGCTTCTCCCTCTTCCTCTGCTCCTCCCCTTGCTCATGCTCTCTCTCTCTCACACAATAAAATCTTCTTAAAATAATAATAATAGGGGCGCCTGGGTGGCTCAGTCAGTTGGGCGGCTGCCTTCAGCTCGGGTCGTGATCCCCAGGTCCTGGGAATGAGCCCCACATCCAGCTCCCTGCTCAGTGGAGAGCCTGCTTCTCCCTCTTTCTCTGCCTGCCACTCTGCCTACTTGTGCTTTCTCTCGCTGTGTCAAATAAATAAATAAATAAAATCTTTTTAAAAAAAATAATAATAAAAGAAAGGACTCACCTAGGGTACAGCCATACAGGGTCCTCATGAACAAGGACATATATTGCTGTGGACTTACAGGAAATCCCACAGGCATCTCTAGCTAAATCAAGATCTTAGGACTTAATAATTACTTAGGGGAGGACATTATGGTTTTTGTTTTTGAGATTAAGTAACAATATCTGGTTTGAATTTTAAAACATTGTTTTGTTTCATTGTGATTTTTTGTAACAGCTTTGAGCTATAATTCACATACCATATGACCTGGTTGAGAAGTACTGATCTAAGCTTTCCTTAATGTGGATTTGAAGTACGTTTCCTTAATTTATTATATTTAGTAAGGGAAATTTTATCGATACCCTTCTTTAATTCAGGAGGATGAA